TGGAAAGGATTCCTGCATCTGACAGAAAGTTGGAACTCAAAACACTGTTCAACACTGAGGTTGTCTGTGTTTCCAACATTACTGGCAAGAGGCTGAAGTGCTGCTTTTCTTTCCATCTCTTCACTCTTCTCATTTGTGGCTGTATCCCACTTGTAACCATGAGGCTGAGGGATTTGCAACCCCTCCTTATGCTTAGGGAAAATCCTTAGGAAGAACATTTTACTTGCAATACTTAGCATCTCATTGGTTTTTCGGTATAGAGCTTATTGAGAGAAGATAGAACATAAGAGCTTAAGTGAGCAGAGCTCAGAGGGGGGATTAATTGAAGTGCAGCAGGGAGAGAAATGTGGATGAGGAAGATTTTCATAGATGACTGAGTCTGAGGGGTTAAGGATACAGCAGCAGTTACTCAAACTATTACAATGCACCACAGTTGATAGCTACAATGCTTCCTGTTCACAGTTTCCATACATTGTCTCAATCATCCCTCACAGTGATCTATCATATAAGTACTATTATTGACCTTGTTTTACAGACTGGGTACCTCTGGCTGAAGGAAGTGGGCATGCTTGTCTAATGTTCCATGGTGATTAAGGTCTAGAGCCAGATTGAGAGCAGATTTGATTCCAAAGGCAAATTAACATTTGGATATAGATATATGTATATGTCTATCATATATATCATATATAGACATATATATAGATATATGTATATATAGATATGTACATTTAGATATAAACACATATATATGTATATATATTTGGATACAGATGTATGTATATGTATATTTTTCACCTATTAGTTGCCAGCACATACAATTTAGATAACTCTGAATATGAGTCTGTATAATTAATTTTTATGTAAGACTTATTCAAATTTAGGTGAACTTTTTTTTCAGCTTTAATTGAGTTTATTGGTACATTTTAGGGATACAGTACAGTTACATTCATTGTTGGGATCTTGTACCTCTACATGACAAGTCTTGATTCTCATTTTTTCCCCTTCCCCCTGCCCTCCCTTCAC